AACCAATGGAAGCAAAGGCATGAGTTCGCAGGCCCACCAGGCAAATTTCTTTAAGGAAAAGCATAGCAATTTTTTTGAACGGCAAAAGCATAGCAATTTAGAGAGGGGAAAAATTTATACAAAGAGCTTGAGGCTCTAAACAATCAAATTCGAGCCTACCTCAAAATTTTCACTAGAAGAGGTTGTTTTGATGCCTAAATATCCTCAAATTGATCATCTCGACATCAAGATGCATAGGCATAATAAAAAAAAATAGATTTCAAGTTTCAAAAATGGTGTATTTTGCAACGTATTTTTGGACTGTCAATTTTCAAGATTTTCATGTTCTCATAGATCTCTCGATCTACACTATTTTTTGAGCTTTAAACTTTATAAATAAATATGAAAATATATTTTAAGGCTATCAAAAAGATTTTCAGTACTGAATCCATATTTCTCGATACCATTTAAAGGTAGGCTCTAATTTGATTATTTGGATCCTAGGCTCTATACAAAGGGATATAATTAAAACCCAATGTTATGAATACCCATTCTGTCCAATCATCTTCAGAAACAAGGAAACAAATAATCAGCTGCGATCATGATATTATAGAGCAGTGTTAAAAATCTTTACTTGGGGTGAGTAGTGGGCCCAAGCCCGACCCAAGTACTTGGCTTAAGTCCGAGTAACCACACCCGAGTTGGGCCAAGTACTGTAGCAGAAGAAAAAGGTTAAAACATTTACAAATGCAAAAAATAGGAAATGAATGTTTCAAGTAAGATTAAGCAAAACATATCAAAATGAAGTTAAAAATAGTAAAAAATTAGATTTTAAAAAATCACTTGTAAATTGAAGGAGTTTTTTCATGTGAAAATACTTTTACGAGAATATTTTTACACATACCAAATAGAAACCCTAATAATATTCCCTTATTATAAAGTAGAAAAGTCTTCCCAAAGCTATAGGCAAAAATTAACAGTGATTTTGCTTACTTTCATCACAGTCCAAAGTTTATCGTACGATCACGATTGTCCGGTAGTATTTCATTTTTTCATTTTTTTTTTACAAATCGAAATGACCTGAAATTTGGAGCATGTATACATCTTAGTGAGACGCACTTAATAAAAATATAAAAATAATAATTCGTGAAAAAAATTGATCAAAATACTGTCAAAAATTTTTGAAGGTATTTTGGTTAATTTTTTTTAAGTAAAATATTTTTTGATATTTTTCATAGATTCACCTATTTTTGATGAACACATGCTCCAAATTTCAAATCATTCTAATCTGTAGAAAAATTAAAATTAAAAAATAAATTATCACCGAACAATCGTGATTATGCGATGAGCTTTTGATAGTGATGAGAATAGACGAAATTGCTGTTTATTTTTTTGTAGTATCTTCCTCATAAACTCTCTAAATACTTTATAAGTTATCAACACGCTCGTTAGACTTTTCAAAGTAAACAAAAAAGAAAATTGAAAAGAAGTTATTAGAGGAATATAAAAACATGGAAGGGCATAGAAAATTAATATAGTTAGTGAAAGGGAGAAAATGGGAGGGAACGCTTAGAAAAAGTGAGAGCCCATAATTATTATGCAAAACTCATGAGAATTAATGCCAAAGAAATTCTTAGCAATGGGAGAAAGAGTGAGCCCTTTTTCAACATCCAAAGCTGGTGTCGACTTCTAAGAAGCATCCCACGTCTGGGAAATATGTAATGCCTCATGTTATAATTGAACAAAATAGAGGGATAGAGAGAGAGAGAGCCGTGCTCTAAAACTTGGCCGAGTTTTGTGGGCTTGGGCAGTGGCCGAGCTTGAGTTTTTTTGAGATATTAAAAAATAAAAAATAAAAAAGGTAAAAAAAATTATTAAAATCTTAAGAAATGTATTTGTAATATCTTTTTTAGGGATTATATACAATGAAACCATTTACATTTAATACAAGGAGGTCACAATTACTTACAACCATCTGATGTGAAATCTGATAGCTTGGGTTTGTCACGAAGTATAAAAAAATTTGTTTTGAACTTTGAGCTTGGTCAATGAAATAAATACAACTACCAAATTTCATAAGATTAATTGTGATCACCTTGTACCAAAGGTAAATGGTCTCTTTATATTTGTAACCACCTTGTACCAAATAAACTTAGAATTTGTTAAGGGAGCATAATTTGATTTCGCTGTACGGACACAATTACTTCATCAGACATTATGCAATGGTAGCATTTAGTGTCCTAATTGACCAATTTTTTTGTTAAAAATTTCAATAAACACGACAATATCATTTGTCATGGCACAAATCATATAAAAAAGAAAAAAATATTCTCTTTTAAAGTCCTTTGTTCTCAATTAATTTCAAAAAATTGGATATTTTTTTAAATTTACTTTTTAATAGGAGACTTGCTAGCCATATTGTGGACCCCACGATCATGGATAAAAAAAAAACCCTATATATAGTCTTGTCTGTGCCAATTTTTCTATCTTCGGATAAGATGACACTCGTTTTTGCAAGATGGTAAGCTAAATCATTAGTCGTGCAAGAATGTCCATTTCAATAATAAGAGATTCAACTTATCGGATCATTTTAGGTAATCCAAACCCATTTTTTGGAATAAAAATAGATTTTCTAGGGTATTAAGTGGTTTCCAGATGCTAAAACCATGGCTACCAAGGGGCCCATTTAAACCGCAGCCCTACTAGAAGAAAAGGAGAGATGCGGGGAGAAGAACCATCAGTTTTTGAAAAGCTGGGTCAAAGGTGGCAACTATCCCAATCCCTAATATTAATTTACATAATATAATAATACTTACTGTTATCGACTTGCTAAGAACGTGCTTGAAATGTTCCTTGATTTGAAAGCATATATCAAGAGAGAGCGAACCTCTCCTTCACTGTGTTCGAAAAACTCGTGCCAGCCAACTCAGACTCGTCACCTTGGTGAATCCGGTCAACAGGTGCGGTGGTTCAAATCAAGAACTTAAAAAAGAATTCACCAAATTTGTAAGACATCAATAAATAAATATATATATATATATATATAGAAAAATCTTCTTAACGCCTATAAACGAAGTAGTGATTTTATCAATCCTCATCATTGTCAAAATTTCATCGTATGGTCACAGCTGTCCGATAGTATTTTATTTTTTATTTTTTTTCTACAAATCGGAATGACCTAAAATTTGAAAAGTATGTACACCCTACTGAAGCGCATCTAATAAAAATATAAAAATAATTATCCGTAAAATAAATTAACTAAAATACCCCCAAAACTTTTCAGGGGTGTTTTGATCAATTGTTTTCATGTAAAATATTTTTTTTATATTTTTTAAAAATTTCCCTATTTTTGATGAATACAGATTCCAAATTTCAAGTCATTCGAATTTGTAGAAAAAAAATAAAAAATGAAACACTAACGGACAATCGTGACCACGTGATGAACTTTGAACAGTGATAGGAGTAAACGAAATCACTGTTCATTTTCACCTATAGACGTTGCATAGTATTTTATATATATATATATTTATTTATTTATTTATTTATTTATTTGAAATGTGTTTTTTATGTTTTCTATCATTTTGGCAAAGATTAATAAGTGTTTGTTTATGAATACTAATTTTTATGTTTTTCCCTTTTTTTAGACTATTTTTAAAATACCCCCCCTTCCACTAAAATTCGTATAGCGGATCCAAATTAATTGGAAAAAAACTCTGACGATGATGATGACAAATTGATTTTTTTTCCAAATCCATTTTTTCACTACTTTTGTTACCTCATTTAAATGTGGCCCAAGTTACACGGGAAATAGCCCGACTCGAACAAAGTAACTTGAACTTGGTCCAAGTTACATGGCTCGAGCATGGGTTAAGTCCCATACCCGAACCGTGCTTTTATACAATGCTTTTCGTGGTTCTAGTACCAGGTCTCGGTTTCAGGATTTGCGTCCATCCGACTGGAATGAATCGGAAATCTGTTAGAGCTTATAATTTAACAAAACGAAAAAAGAAAAAGAAGCAAAGGACACCCTAGATTACGCTAAAGTTTTATTTATGTATTTATTTTGACAAACTCGGCTTGATGCTAGTATTTGCCTAAGAAAATGCTGGGTTCCCAATCCAGCTGCAGGCACGTCGGCACTGCAATTTTTGAGTGACCGCTCCCCTTTAATAACATTATATTATAAATTGAAAATGAGGAAGTCAAACAAATCCACCATTTGCTCCACAAATCCCATCGTTCTCGGATGCTTCAGACGGAAAATGTTCGGGAATGTGAACGTAACCACCCATGCCACTCAACGACTTTCTACAGAGCCACCATGCCCCGACCACCCTATTTCCAGAGAGAGAGAGAGAGAGAGAGAGGAGAGAGATGTTTTAGAGAGAGAGATGAGTGGGCAAAGCAACCCCGTTCATGTCCTTGTGTACAAGGAAGATCCTCTCTTTCTCTCTTCATGCCATTCAACTCACCAAAGAAATCAGGGAGATATTTGTGAGTTGAGATTGGAGGTGTGATGCGCAATTACTTTGATAATATTTTATTTACCTATATAGGTCCGATAGATATTGCAATTACTTTGATAATATTTTATTTACCTATATAGGTCCGATAGATATTGCAACGGCTAACTACACAGAATTGAGTGCTTAGTAGGTTGAAGCTTTTCATCAGTAAAGATCTTGGCAATAGCTGTATGATTGAAAGGGACTCCCTAATGTCATTAGATGGTGTACTAAAATTCAGAGAGTTTCATGATAAGAACGTACAGATTATAGATATTGCAGTTATTGTTTCGGTCTTTCTCTCATTTTTATCACGAAGCTACGAAGCTAATAGTGTGGCTGATTTGTTGGCTAAAGGCGGAGCCTCTCTACCGTCTCTAATTGTTTCTGATGATGTAATTCACTTTTTCATAGTTATCAACAAAAGCAGTAACATTTGTCTAAAAAAGAAAATATTTGTGAATTTCACTCTTAGAATTCATCAATTTTTCCAATGTCTATGGACACCGAACAACCCCTATTCAAAACCGACGCCTCAATAAATCAGAAGCTCCAGCACAAAATTACAATACACAACTCAGAAGTCGGAGCTAGATAGAAAGTGTCATTTTTCACACAAGCCATTCTCAACTGTCAACCATTCACACCAGTCTTGTCTATCGTAAATAGTTGGCCAAGTCAAAAAGGTGGAAAGAAAGGGAAGATGGCCACCCATGTATTTAATACCTACAACCCACCCTCGACTCCTCTCTCGCCACCCAACCATTCTTCCGTACAATCCAGCGTCACCCATTCACACCTCTCTTTCTCTCTCTACAATTCCATCCCCAGTTGGATCCGTTGACCCTCTGGCTCTTATATGCCCGTCCCTCACCATGGTGTGATCCCCAAACCCACACTGGCCTGAACCGGTGGTCATGGACAGAGATCTTGAGCCAGTACTGCCCGTACTCTTTCTCTCTCTTCTCACGCTCCCCTTTCTCTCTCCTCTCTCACTAGCATCAGCCCAAACTGAAGCCCAAGCCCTTCTAGCCTGGAAATCGAGCCTAGTCGATCCGCCACTCTCCTCATGGAACATTGGTGGAAACCCCTGCAACTTCACTGGAATCCAGTGTAACAGAGCTGGACGTGTATCGGTCATTGACCTCCAAGGCCTCGATCTCAATGGAAACATTGAAAACCTGAACTTCTCAGCTCTTCCTGCCCTTACCACTCTCAATCTCAACCGAAACAGCCTTGTGGGTTCTATCCCCTCAAGCATTGGCACCCTCTCATCTCTCTTTCTCTTGGACCTTGCTCATAACAACTTCACAGGCTCAATTCCCTCTTCTATAGGAAACCTCACCGAGATTCTCTCTCTAAACCTTTCAGATAATTCGCTCAATGGGCCCATCCCTTACCAGATGGGAAACCTTCAAAAGGTACGCCACCTTGACCTCGGCTCGAACTACTTGGAAAATCCAGACTCCCCTCGTTTCCTCTCTCTCCTCTCTCTAAGCAATCTCTCTCTCTACCTGAACTCTCTCGGTCCCAGTGTACCAGAATTCATTTTCAGATGCTCGAATCTCACCTATCTTGATCTCTCACAAAACAATATCAGTGGAGAAATTCCAGTTCAGTTAGCTTCTGCCGTGAAAAAACTTGAATACCTAAACTTGACAGTCAATTTCTTTGAGGGTCAGATTCCTAAAGAGCTCACAAATTTACGCCAGCTAAAAGACCTTCGGTTGGCTAAGAACATGCTAGAAGGGCCAATACCAGAAGAGCTTGGTTCGATGTCCAACCTTCGCATTCTCGAGTTATATGAGAACCCATTAGGTGGACCGATCCCTGGATCATTTGGTCAGCTCCGAATGGTCGAAAGGCTCGATCTCCGAAATGCTCTGTTGAATTCCAGTATACCTCAAGAGCTCGGCTATTGTACTAATCTATCATATCTTGCCCTGGCCAATAATAATATAACTGGGACCATACCAGCTTCCTTCTCTTCTCTCACTAAAATGAGAGAATTTGGTCTTTCTGGCACCCAAATCACAGGAGAAATCTCTCCCGAGCTCTTGGTCAATTGGACAGAACTCATGTCTCTACAACTTCAGGAGAATGAACTCATCGGAACAATCCCACATGAAATTGGTAGGCTCTCTAAGCTCACAGTACTTTATTTGTTTGCTAATAGCTTCCATGGAAGTATTCCTTCCGAGATAGGAGACCTACGGAACTTAACCGAATTAGACCTCTCTGCAAACCAGCTAACTGGTCCGGTTCCTTCATCTATAGGCAACTTAGCCCAGCTCACCCGCCTCAGTCTTTTTGGGAACAAACTCAGTGGAAATCTCCCTCTAGAGATTGGAAACCTAACATCTATTGTAATAATTGACCTCAGTGAAAACAACTTTGAAGGCCCATTTCCCAAAACAATCTCTAGCCTCGAATATGTTGAACTGTTATATGCCTATACCAACAAGTTCTCAGGCGAACTTCCCGCTAATTTGGGCCAGCATAGTCCCCTCACAAATGTCAGCTTGTCAAATAATACGTTTTCCGGAACCTTGCCTGCCGGAATCTGTGATGGGGGCAAACTGGTTTACTTTACAGTGGACTCCAACAACGTCACTGGACCCTTGCCTCAAAGCCTAAAGAATTGCTCAACTCTCGTTAGAGTTCGGTTAGAAAGGAACCAGCTCTCAGGAAACTTAGACGAAGCTCTTGGTGTGTACCCAGAATTGGTATACATGGACCTCAGCGATAACCAATTTTCCGGAAAGATTTCGCCAGATTGGAGGAAGTGTGAGAAATTAACCTACTTACACATGGCCAGAAATCGAATTTCGGGGGAGATCCCAACTGAAATCGGGCAGCTTACCGAGCTGGCGGACCTGAGCTTATCTTCCAATATTTTGACAGGGGAGATCCCCAAAGAGCTAATGGAGATGATTCGTCTGTTCAAGCTTAACTTGAGCGATAACAGACTTTCAGGGCAGATCCCCATGGAAATTGGCCAGCTCACCAATCTAACAAACCTTGACCTGTCAAAAAATAACCTGACAGGTCCAATCCCAGAAGAGATTGGAAAGTGCTCCAAACTGTTATCATTGGATCTAAGTGACAATAGTTTGAATGGAACCATACCTTACCAAATCGGAAACCTTGTTTCATTACAGTCTCTTTTGGACCTCAGCCAAAACTCATTTTCAGGCCGCATATCGCCTGATTTTGGCAAGCTAACTGCACTGGAGATGCTGAACCTCTCTCGCAACAATTTATCAGGCGGTATCCCCTCATCATTTTCAAACATGTTTAGCTTATCAACAGCGGATATCTCTTACAACCAACTAGAAGGCCCCTTGCCTGATATCTCAGCCTTTAAGAATGCCTCGGCTGCTTATTTGACCGGAAACTTGGGGTTATGTGGCCAAGAGAATGGTCTCCACCCTTGCGAGTCATCGAGCCCCACTTTACAGAGAAATAATCACAGGAAACTTGCCATTACAATTGCAGTTCCCATTGCAGCTACACTCGCACTTGCATTGCTCATCATTGGGATCTTTTGCCTTTGTCGAAAAACGCAAGAGAAGTCAAATTTTGCTGGTGAAACAAATGTTGGAAGTGAGATCTCAATATGGAGCAGCGAAGGGAAAATGACATACAATGACATTGTAAAGGCGACTGATAATTTTGATGAGAGGTATTGTATAGGGAAAGGTGGTCATGGGAGCGTGTACAGGGCAATGCTCCTTGGGGGCCAAATTGTTGCGGTGAAAAGGATGCACACTCCGGAAAATGGTGACCTGACTAGCCAGAAAAGCTTTGAGAATGAGATAAAGGCACTCACAGAGGTGAGGCATAGGAACATTGTGAAGCTTTACGGGTTTTGCAGGCAGCATGGTTACATGTATTTGGTGTATGGATATATGGAGCGCGGGAGTGTGGCTAGAGTGCTCCAAGAAGAGGATGAGGCAAGAGAGTTAGGCTGGGGGAAGAGGCTACATGTGGTGGGTGGAATTGCACATGCTCTGGCTTACCTACACCATGACTGTGTGCCACCAATTGTGCACCGAGATGTGTCCAGTAACAATGTGTTGTTGGATACAGAGTATGAGGCTTGCATTGCTGATTTTGGCACTGCCAAGTTGCTGAATCCTGATTCATCAAATTGGACCACAGCTGCAGGGGCATATGGCTACATGGCACCCGGTAAGACAACTCTTTGAATCCTGAGATGTGCATGTGTGTGTGTGTGTGTGAGAGAGAGAGAGGTAACCTATATTAACTCTACACGGCACTAGCATGCTTAGCTTTGAAAAATATATCATAGCTTTGAAGTACTAATGGGTCCCATGCGAAGTGCTTCTCTAACCACGCCCTTAAACATTTGTAGTCATGTCTCACTCTGCAACTGTCACACATGTATGATATTTACAACAAAAGTTCCATGCATTGAAGACAAACTGCACAAATTTAAAATTCTGTCAAAATTTCAGCCAAAATGTGGACGAAATGCATCAAGAATGGGTCTTCAATTAGACTAGAATACAGAACAATGGACAAGAAACTGATTCCATTTCCAGAAATACTTGCTTTGAATCTCACTTGAAACTTCAAAGCAAATTTTACATAATATTTATAAAAACCCATTAAACAATGGCCAATCATCAGTGTTGAATATGGTTTTGGCCCTGCTGAAAACATATCTAAGAGGATGCCTAGCCACTGTTGAATGAGCTTTCTTCCCTGTTAAAACCCATAAAGGAATTTGAAGTCAAATACAAACTCAATTCAAATTTTCCCAATTGAGCAGCATAACTACGCGAGTAAAATGGTATGCTATGCCTTATTGACCATCCAGACCAATCTGTAGATTCCTGTTCTTTTTTCCGATAAGCAACTTTTACTTAGATTTACCTATGTTTTTTCCTGGCAGAGCTTGCATACACAATGAAGGTGACAGAGAAATGTGATGTCTATAGCTTCGGCGTCGTGGCCCTCGAAATCTTGACAGGAAGGCACCCTGGAGAGCTGCTCACTAACCTATCACAAGGGCAAGAAGCAATCCTTAAGGATGCATTAGACCCACGACTCAGCCCTCCAACTGGTCAGCTAGCTGAGGAAATAGTCTGTACAGTAATGTTAGCTATGTCATGCACTCGAGCCAATCCAGATTCCCGCCCTACTATGAGGTACATATCACAAGAGCTATCAGCTCGTAGCCAAACCTTCCTTTCAGAGCCCTTGGGTGCCATCAGGATGAGTAAGTATTTGTAGATTACCTCACAAACAATCAGATGGTATTCTTGTCTTCTTGAGAAAAACAAGCATTACTTTCCTCTCCTTTCTTTTGAGCATTGGGGCCCGGCATATTTTTGGCCAAGAGTTAGGAAAACCCTATTCTCCTCACATGTAGAGTCTAGAGTGTGTTTCTTTGTATTGCAATTCATGGGGTTTTATCCCTCTCTCTCACCATTCAAGTGTTGATAGAAGCAATAAACCTATTGAGAGTGCCTGAGGATTTGTGAAGGTCAATAGTTATTGAGGCACATGATTTGTGAACCTCTTATTATCGCCAGCCTGTGCTGCATAAAGCAGCATGTATATATCCGTAAATCACAAGGAGTATACCTATTGTTTATTGAAGAATCTGACTGCCCAGAATTTTGTTGTAATATTTTTTTTGACCAATGATTCCGTAGGTAAATTAACCTCAAACTCTGATTATAAAGTCTTTTCTTGGCATGATCCATGATACTGAATAACAACCAAGAGGCTTACAGGGGATGGTTGAAATGAATAGATCCCCTTCTATTGGCTGACTAAATGTTTAAAAAGGATATCAAGGGATTTACAAAAAGAATTCATGACACAAGGAAACTTGGTCATTAAGGAAAATAATGTCCCAAGGAATTATGACCTGTCCAACTATACATCCTATGTAACTGTTATCCGTAGCTCGATGTTTTGATCTCTAATCCCTCTTCAGAACAAGGTCCACAAACTTCCTTGTTTTTAAGTAGTTTATGAAAACATCTCTTTGTCTTTTCTAAAGTATGGATTGAACACCGTCTTCATATCCTATGATGAGAAAAGACAAAACGAAAAAGAAAAATCCTATCAGAACTGGAAAACCAAATCGAGCACAAGACTTCTGCCTCCCCCCTCTATACTTTCTGTTACATGCTACTCATAAGGAAATGCGCTGCTGGCAATTAATGTTCTAGAAATGCAAACCGTTATTAAATTTTGATCTTCCCCATGCAATTCATGGGAGAAAAGAAACTTTTCGCATCTAAATATCCTGATTTCTTACATGCTTGAGCATCTGAATTCAGAGACGGCCAAAATATAAAAGGGGTTATGAAATGTGCTTTATATGGAATTTGGAACGACCCATAAAGGTAGAAATAGAATTAAGAGCAAAGATAAATCTAACTTAGCAAGAAAAACCAGATATATCATTGAAAAATTCTTTACCGACCATTACCCAGAATAATTGAAAATTCAGAACCGTAAGGCTGTTGCCCTGGTGCTTTTGTGCCTTCACATAACTTCCTTTATTCAACACCTGCTTTAGGCAAGGCTGGGACTTTCACAAACACTTGACTCACTAACAAAAAAATATCCCAAGTCAAACCCATCCATTTCAGGTCCTACCATATCTTTAATTGCTTAGCCAATCTCAAATCAGGAGACAGTTGCAAATGTCTGGCCTTCTCTCATTTGGTATAATCAGGCATAGTTTTCAATTTTCTCTTATATATTCTATTACAAGCACGAATAAGATACAGCATTCCATTTGAATATGCTAGGGACACCTGAATCAAAAATCCAAATGCAACAATACATGCACCCCTCACAAGTCAAAACTAGAAAAGACAAACAGCGGCATTTAGTAATCTAAGGCATGAAAATCAATCTCACCTTTTCACACACGCAACTCTCTCTTATCGTGATATGTAACGTAAGTCAAAGGTACAAGGAAAAAGAAACATAACTAATTACTACTTGCAAACGGTCTCAGCCATTCACGACTCTGAATCCATTACTTTCTATATCAGCAACTCCACCTATTCCCACCCTCTAATACTTTTATGACAATAATTCCAGCATGATCCTTGGACCATAGCTGAACAGGCAGCCATGGATACACACCTTGTGATATTCTTCCTGTATCTTATCGGAGTCCCCTTTGTCTCTCCTCTCTACATAGCGGAAGCAATTAATGAAGTCCAAGCCCATGTCGCATGGAAATCAAGCCTGGTCGCACCTGCTCTCTCCTCCTGGATCACTGCAAGAAGCCCCTGTAACTTCACTGGAATTCGCTGCAATAATTCGGGAAACATATCAGAAATCAACCTCAAAAACCTAGGCCGCCAAGGAACCCTACAAAACCTAAACTTCTCAGCCTTCACCAACCTCACCCACCTTAATCTCAACCTAAACAAATGATTCCGGCAAGCATAGGCAGCCTCTCTAAGATCTCTCTCATGGATCTTGGAAGCAACAATTTCACAGGTCCAATCCTCCATCCATCGGAAACCTCACAGAGCTTCTGTCTCTAAGTCTCTCAAGCAACAGCCTCGATGGAAGCATACCTTACCAGCTTGGAAACCTCCAGAAGATACAACACCTTGACCTTGGCTCGAATTTCTTGAGGAACCCAGACTCATCTCAGTTCCCCTCCTCCATACCTTCTCTAACCAACCTCTCTCTCAATTACAACAAACTTGGTCCAGACCTGCCAGAATTCATCTTCCAATGCCAAAATCTGACCTACCTAGACTTGTCCAATAACGAATTTACTGGAGATATACCTGTCAGGTTTGATTCTGACCCGGAAAATCTTATGTACCTGAATCTAACGTCCAATAATTTTTCAGGTCAGATTCCAAAGGAGCTAACGAGCTTGACTGAGCTCAGGGATCACCTGATGGGGAAAAACCAGCTAGTGGGTCCAATCCCGGAAGAGCTCGGTTCAATCTCCACTGTTCAAGTACTCGAAATATATGAGAATCCATTAGGTGGACCGGTTCCGAGTTCTTTCGGTCAACTCCATATGCTTGAGAGGCTGGATATCCATGGCTCAGGATTGAATTCAAGTATTCCTCCAGAACTTGGCCTCTGCACTAATCTGCATTTTCTTGCCCTGGCAGTAAATAGCATCACTGGAAACTTAGCCAGTTCTCTTGCTTCCCTTACTAGAATCCAAGAACTCGGACTTTCAAGCAACTTTATCACTGGAGAAATCATGCCAGAGCTTTTGGCCAATTGGACACAGGTCATCTCTCTACAACTCCAGGATAATAGTCTCACAGGGGAAATCCCAACAGAAATCGGGTTGCTTACCAAGCTCCAAATCCTTTACCTGTTCAAGAATAAACTTAGTGGAAGCATTCCCACTGAAATAGGAAATCTAAGAAATTTAATAGAACTAGACCTCTCAGTGAACCAGCTCAGTGGTTCCATTCCTTCTTCAATTGGCAACCTGAAGCAGCTTAAAATTCTGAACCTTTTCGTCAATAAAGTCACTGAAAATCTCACACCGGCAATTGGAGATCTGACATCCATAACGGCCATTGATAACAATTCTAACAACTTCCAAGGCTCATTACCGAAAACTATTTCTCAGCTCCCAAGTCTTCAACTGTTCTATGCCTATACGAACAACTTTTCTGGCCAAAGTCCAGCAGAGTTTGGCCGGAATAGTCCCTTGACAAATGTCAGCTTCACAAATAACAACTTTTCCGGAGCCTTGCCTTCAGGAATCTGCGACAGTAGGAGCCTCATTTATTTAACAGCGAATAACAACAGCTTCACAGGGACCATACCAGAAAGCCTAAGGAACTGCTTAACATTAATTAGAGTTCGTTTAGAAATGAACCAAATTTCAGGTGATTTATTGCAATCCTTTGGAGTGTACCCTGAATTGAACTACATGGATTTGAGTAAGAACCAACTTACTGGTGAGATCTCCACAAATTGAAGCAAATGCCAGAAGTTAACCTTCTTACACATGACAGGAAATCAAATTTCCGGTGAGATCCCACCTGAATTCGGCAGATTGTCAATGCTTCAAGATTTCAGCTTATCTTCCAATGTTTTGACAGGGGAGATCCCCAAAGAGCTAATGGAGATGGCCCATATGTTCAAGCTTAACTTGAGCAATAACAAACTTTCTGGTGATATCCCAATGGAAATCGGCCAACTCGCTAGTATAGGGTATCTAGACCTCTGGGGAAATATATAGGGTATCTAGACCTCTGGGGAAATAATCTCACAGGGCCTATACCAAAAGAAATTGGGAAATGCACAAAACTATTGTCACTAAATTTAAGGGACAATGATTTGAATGGGACCATACCTTACCAGATCGGAAGCCTGGTCTCTTTACAATCTCTTTTGGACCTTAGCCGGAACTCAATTTGGGGTCCTATCACATCAGATTTCTCAAAGCTAAGCTCACTAGAGAACCTCAACCTCTCTCACAACAATTTATCTGGTGAAATTCCAGCACTTTCTGGCATGGTCAGCTTATTGTCAGTCGATATATCACACAACAATCTCGAAGGACCCTTGCCAGATATTCTGGCCTTTCAAAGAGCTCCAGCAACATCTCTTGCTGGAATCCCCAGGTTATGTGGCAAAATAAATGGACTGCTCCCATGTAATGAAAACCAAAGTCCAGTTTTACAACCAAAAAACAGCAAAAAAATTGTGATTGCAATCGTCGTATCCATTGCTGCAGCCCTTGCCCTCCTAGCCCCCATGGCTGGAATATTTGCCCTCTGCCACAAAACCCTACATACTCCAAAATCATCCAAGGAAACAAATGACGAGAGTGAGCCACTGATATGGAGTAGCGATGGGAAGTTTACATTTAATGATATTATTGAGGCAACTGAGAACTTTTGCGTAGGGGAGGGTGGCCATGGGAGAGTGTATAAGGTTGTGCTCCAGGAGGACCAAATAGTTGCTGTGAAAAGGTTGCAATTGCCTCAGAATGGCGAGATGGTTGTCCAGAAAAGCTTTGAAAATGAAATTAGGGCACTCACAAATGTGAGGCACCAGAATATCGTCAAGCTTTATGGATTTTGTGGAAAGCAAGGATTCATGTACTTGGCGTATGGATATATGGAGGGTGGAAGCGTGGCTAGGGTTCTCCAAGATGAGAAAGAGGCAAAAGAGCTGCCATGGAGGAAGAGGCTACATGTCGTGCGTGGAGTGGCCCGTGCCCTGTCTTACCTACACCATGATTGTGTGCCGCCTATTGTGCACAGGGATGTCTCAAGTAACAATGTGCTGTTGGATTCAGACTATGAGGCTTGCATCGCTGACTTTGGTACTGCCAAGTTGCTGAATCCAGATTCATCGAATTGGACCGCAGCTGCAGGGACATATGGCTACATGGCACCAGGTAAGATCTTTGAATACTCATATTGAGAGAGAGAGAGAGCAATCATAGATATTCGTACTATTCTTGCTCCAGCATACCTAAGAATAGATGGGAATGTAGAATATGTTGACAACATGGACATTCACTGGTGCTTGTATAACAATTTAATCGCACCCTGAAATATATGATAGTTTATCACCTGCAACCATCACATATATTCAGTATGTAGACACAAAATTTGAGTGCATTGAAATGTTCGGACTTTTGTCCAAAATTTTGGCCAAACTGGGGAAGAAATCGATCCAGAATTGGCCTATTGGTTCTATTGGGCCAGACTGCAAAACAATGATTGACCGATAAGCCAAGATGAGGTAGACCAACCAAATTAATTCACATGTACCATCAGATATCAAGATACATTGAATTCAAATGTACCACAAGATATCAACACATATTTGGTCATCCTATTTAAACTGCAAACTGAATTCCCATTAAAACTTTACAGAAGTCCATAAAACATTGGTCAATCATCAAAAGTTCCGTAGTTTTTGGCTCTAAAATCCATCTAAGGTGATGCGTAGCCACTGTTGAATGGAGTTTTGATTCCTCTGGTAAAACCCATTTAAGCATTTGAATCAGTAAAAACTCCACTTAAACTGTTCATTAATCATCTGTCTGGCAGGATAAAACGGACATTCCACAGACTTAAATGTATGCCATACTTCATTGACCCTCCAGACCTAATCTATAAAGAGTCTCGAACTTCATTTCCTCTTACTTGAAATCAGCTCATGTTTCTCTCATGGCAGAACTCGCATATACAATGAGGGTGACAGAGAAATGTGATGTCTATAGCTTTGGAGTCATCGCTCTTGAGGTATTGACAGGAAAGCATCCAGGAGAGCTGCTCAATTGCTTATCAAATGGGCAAGAAGTAATTTTAAGCGATGCATTGGACCCACGACTCCTCCCCCCAACTGATCAGCTGGCTGAGGAAGTAGTCTTCACAGTGATGCTAGCAATGGCTTGCATTCGTACCATTCCGGAGTCTCGCCCTACCATGAGATACATATCACAAGAGTTATCAGCTCCTATACAAGACTTCCATTCAGAGCACTTGGGCACCATCAGAATGAGCAAATACATGTAAATAATAACTTCTTTTTTATTGATGGCAAATACTTAGTCTTTTCTATTTCATAGGAGTTGTTAGATATACTTGTTCGAAGGGAATTTGAGTACTATTTCTAGAAGGAAAGTGTGAATTTCTGTCATTCAACAATTTGAAAGCAGTTTATCCTGTTGCAAGCATTCATGATTCCCCTTGTTTCTCACACAAAGGACTTGTTGGAGTTATATTAAACGTCCTGTACGGCAATATAGATTTGTTTTATTTGAAATGTAACATAGGGTTTGTTTTTTCAAACAACGTGTTTCTTGGAGGATCTAAATTTTCCTTGAGGCACATGATTTTGTAAGCCTTCTATTTATGGCCATAATGTATTGTAGCCAAGCAGGCTAGCATAAATCTGTAAATGGTTTTTCAATAAAGTACGTGTAAATTGTTATGAGGAGATTACTTTCTTTTTTTGAGGAAAAATTTGGGTTTTTTTTTTTTCATTTTTAACTCCTTCGATGTATAGTAATCTGGAATTAGAATGTGGAATCTAAGGTATTAAGAATCAGTACTCTGAGCCACGATGCTGTTTTGGTGGTTGAGGAAAATGGGGGCCCAAAGAACCACACCAGATAACAACTATGAATAAATACTAACCCTACTCACAAAGTGACTTACGAAAAACATGACCAGATGTATTCTATGAATATTAAACCTGCTAACAAAGTGGTATTCATCTATCATTCATTAAAACAAACTGATATACATACAATTGATCCTTCAAATTCACAATCGACATTCACCACAACATCTATAAAACTCATTGTTATTAAGTATGAAACAAAAAGTGAAGATCTTCTTCGAATCCTCATGAAAAGGCAAGCTAATTCTTGTCCCTGTCAAATCCAACAATGGGCAATAATAAAAGAATGAGTTTTCCGCATAGAACCATACTTTCAGTTATAGGTGAACATATATGATTGATATGGTTTACGCGGTAGACAAACCATTAAGTAATGAAAAAAAAAAAAAAATCGAAGTTGGGGGCGAATTTTGTGTGAAGGCAATACAAATCATGGCATAAACATTCATACTGGTATACCTTAATTTTACTAACTTCTGCTTGAAATCAGACAGAAATGATGCAAATGTAAAAGGCCCTAGTACTTTTCTACCATTAAACTAGCCGTTAAAAGTAAAAAATTACATAATAATCGAACCCAAAAAATGAGCATAATGTGCAAAAAAAAGAAGAACATGATGAATGTGCAAAGAAATCTTACTATTTACAGGTAAATTTAGACATTATAAGGTTTAACATCTCAATTCGTATCAGCAACTTACAGTGAAGCAAAAGAAGGTATGCGAGCTCTATCAGCCGATGACACAGCGAACAGAAAAGAAATTGGCATTTTCACAAACCCTAATCCTTGATAACCAAGTAACGATCACCTGACCACGTTAACTACAATGAAAATGTCAGGAAATAAATAAATGAACTACCAAAAAAAAAATTAAGTCTCAGAAATAGTATTTTCGTATGTTTCTAGATTTACTTGATTTTAACTATTTATAGAGTTTAAAATTTTAAGATTAGATATGAAAATAGATTTTTAAATAATTTTAAAAAATTTTTAAAACCAAAATTAAGGTTGCAACCTTATACAAACCATACCATAAGCAAAAATTAGTTACATTTTAGAAAAAGGTTAAAATGGTTAAAATAAGGCCAAGGAAAAACTGCATAGCCTCACTGCAAGACTCACCAAAAATTATAGTTCTGGCATCAAATAAAACTTTCCGATATACCATAGATATCACCTCAATTTACGGACTATTTTTAAGTGCTTTCCCAACAAGATTTCGAGATTAAGCTTTACTTTTTGCTCATAAGGCCTAGGGCTTATAAACATGGCATCCAACATTTTATTGCCAATTTCATTTGAGAAAGGAAAATATTACCCAAATAAATCCCACACTTATATGCTCAAATCTATGATTTTTTTTGTTTTATTCGAGGGTAAAGTTTGCACAAATTTGGGATTAGCCCACTAGCTCATATGAACATATGAGCCCAAATCTGGGATTAGTCCACTAGCTCATATGAACATATGAGCTCAACGGTCGAGATTGAATCTGGGCCGATCTGACGATTATAGATGTCCGGAAGTGTTTTAATTTTATTTTATTTTTCTACAAATCCAAATCACTTGAAGTTTTAAAAATTTGTTGATAAAAAATAAATAAATATTAAAAAATTATAAAAAAAATACTTTACATGAAATAGGTACATACTGACTAGATCACATAAAATCCTACTTTCAACCGGTTCAATCCACCCGTTCAAGCGTTCAAATGTTGAGTTTTACAACCAGTTAGTTTGCTAAATTCCACCGTATCATGGTTTTAGCTTTTAAGAGGCATCCAAACACAGTGTGTTGTTGTATCCAAACACAGTATTTAATATTTCAAGAGTTCCATCCCTTGAACCCCTTAAGTGATTGTTTAATATATTTTTTTAAAAAATAGGTGGGTTGTTGCTTTAACATTATATGATTGAAGTGATATGACCATAAAAAAATCCTTCAGAAGAGAGTGTCATCACATTGGAAAACCTTCCAATTGATCGTCTAAACCTTGAGATGTATGAATATAAAAGAAAAAAAGAATTTCAAATATTAAAAATAGCACATCTTATATCAAGTTATCTGGACTGTCTATTTTCAGTATTTTAAAGTATTTATAGATCATTTGTATCCTATTTGAAATTTAAAGTTTCATAATTAGGTATAAAAATAGATTTTAAATATGACAACAAACAATAAAGAGAGTGTTGGAGATTACCTCCAATAGAACAAGAGCTCCTTTCAATCAAAATCTCAAACTTAAGCAGAACCCCTTGATAACCTAGTTGAGAGATATATTATATCCTTTCTACACCCTTAAGCCTTTAGGCAACATCTCAACAAGATGGGAGAGAGAAATCCAAACAACCATGAGTGGGCCGTGCCCTTTTTTTCTTACCAGAGATAGAGAGAGAGTTGCTAAAAGAGAGAGAAAGTTTCTATGTTGGGAGAGAGAGATACTATATATGGGGCATGCCTCCTATGTGAGTCTTATGAGAGAGAGAAGAGATATGGTGTAGAGAATATTGGTGGGGGTCATCCTCTTTAATAGTGCTTCAAGATTTATTATTTTCCATTGTTTGTCTCTTCTTGTGCACCATTGACTTTGGGTGACTTGTGGGATGAGAAATACGAGCCATCTATTCCATAGATAGACCATCAAGATCATATGGAATATGATAAAACCTTTATCCTTTTTTTCTAAACTATTTCCCATCAATTAAAATAAATAAAAAATATCAATTATAATATTGTGCTTTCCATACTCATGCACAAACTTCTTCACACATTCCTGATTATGTTTCAAAACTTCCTAAAAAATCGAGTCTTTCCAAAACACTTAATATATTGGGCTTCAAGCTAAATAACTTGATCACAATAAAATGGAAAGATTCAAGAGGTTGGGCATGCCACCCATGATGGCATCTCTTGGGCCCCACCAACTTGATGGCAGGTCCATGTACACAAACGGGCCTACATGCAATTTCAAATAATTTTAAATTCAAATAAATATTTTAAAATTTATTAAATTCATTTTAATATTCAAATCAATATAAAATCAATATCTCTGTTTTTATAAATAAAATAATCATAGATCCAAAAAAATTCAAATAACAATTCTAAAAATAATATAACATAAAAAACAAACATAATTAAATACTTTTGATGAAAAAATGATCCATATGGTATAGGATTAAATAAACAAACATTGAGGCACTCCACCTTCTACCGTGGACTACGGTCCACACTTGCTTTCTCAAATCGACCCAAGGTTGCTCATGACCCACATTCTATGCAGGGGCTCACTAGTGGGTCACCAAAGTCTAGCCAATAGGTAAGGGGCCGTAATATCAATTTATGGATTTTAAGTTCTCCCCTAGAGACGTACCAAGGTCACCTAAACATGATGCAATCCACAACTCTATAGTGCATAAGGGTAATCTCTTGCACATGCACAAGCTTCACACTGAAAAATGGTTTGTTTTTCTGAAAATGACTATTATATGAGTATACCATGTGATGGTACATAGAAGAGGCTTTAGCCCCATCTCTGAAAGCCACCATCATGTACAAGGGCCACGCAGTCCCTCGACTAACTCATCCAGGCATACTCTGATTTCATCATGGGATGACCTATTATAAACCTTATCGGTTTAATCTCTATATTCAGGTAATATGGGTTTTTTCCAACCAGCTCACTTAGCATGTCAAGCTCATGCTGGTATTAACAAATATCGTTTGCATAGTATGGTCCACACATGACCACACTCCTACTAAGTACATGTTCCCTTATCTCAAAAGTTCAATTTCGGCTTTAATGGCCACACACACCCAACGCCAGCCACCCTCTTGAGTTGAACTGGTTGAGACATCAAGTCGGCTAGGACAAATTTGAGTTGACTTGGCCAATCATTTTCTCAGAAAATCATAAAAAACACATAAAAAATAGCAAAAGATAAAGAAAATGTATAAAATCAAATTTCCAAAACCAAGTATTGGTTGATGTATAAATTAAAATCAAAACTAAAGCACTAAAATCAAAAAACATTTTGACAAGAAAATAGCAGAATGGCAGAAAATAAAAATAAAAAAACAAAAAATGATCTTAGATCATTTCTTGTTTTGATTCAATAAAATATGTTTAAGGCTTTGCAGGTCAATGTGATTGGAACATTCAAAGACGAATTTGAACGAATTTCGGGTAAAGAACCCCTAAAATTTGGGCTCTAGATTTCTTCCAATTTGCTTTTTAATCAAACAAACTGTTATAAGAATTTGTTTACCATAATCAAGTTTCTGATGATTTGGGTGACAAATCAAAATAGACAGAGTACGTTAAAAAAGAGAAATAAGAGAGACGGCAAGAAAGTGGGTTTTGAAATTCAAACAATGATGGAATTTTGATAAAAGATCTTGCCCATATGCGACATTTGATGAAAAGTACATTCTTTATGAGCTAAGAGAAATTGAGCGCCCGGGTTAATTCGTTAGCGTTTGGTTAATTCGTTAGCGTTTGACGATTTGTAACGCTACATCCTAGGTTTAATTTTTATCAAAAGTGAGAGACCCTCTCCCCACTTACTCACCAAAAAAACTGAAAAAAATGAGATTGATTTGTGTCCAAATCAATCATAAAATGGATTATTACTTAAAAATTAAATAAGAATGTTGAAAAGGCCTTTTTTTTTTTTTCCATTTTATTTATAGGGTTAGTCTAGAATTAATTAACCCCTCAAAATACAAAGGTTGATATTACAATGAGTTGAGATAAGTGTTTTTATCATAAAATTATTACTTGTTAAGTAATTATTTTAAAGGAAAAGTTTATATAGAGCTGTGGCTCTAAACAATCAAATTTGAGCCTATCTCAAAAATTTCACTAAAAGAGGTTGTTTTGATGTTCAAATATCTTCAAATTGATCATCTCGACATCAAGAAGCATGGACATGAGAAAAAAATATATTTCAAGTTCTGGAAATAGTGTATTTTGTAACAAATTTTTGGACCGTCAATTTTCAAGTTTTCATAGATCTGTCGATCTACATTATTTTTGAAACTTTGAACTTTATAAATAAACTTAAAAAGATATTTTAAGGCTATCAAAAAAATTTCTAATATTGAAACCACATTTCTTGATACTATTTGAAGGTACGCTCTAATTTGATTGTTTAGAGTCTAGGCTCTATACAAACTGTCCCCTTATTTTAATAGATAATTTAATCATTAAGTAAAGATAAATTTGAAATTTTTATAAAAGTACAATTG